CAGAAACTCAGTGAAAATGAATCTTCTCAAGAATGCTGCAATATATAAGAACTGATTACTCACTTTCTAGTGCCTGCAAGAATTAGAATAGCAAAAGCTTGGAAAAAAAGTATCACCCCCTAAAATCAACGAGTGGTTTAAAAAAGTCTGGAAAGTTTTAATAAGGGAAAAGTTGTTCTATCCAGTCAGTGTTCTACAGGGTAAAAGGGAAAATATGCTTACTTAAGAAATCTGGTGGAGATTTTTGGAATTTGTTAAAAAATAAAAAAAATAATTTTGGATCTTCTCCTGCCTCCAAACCAGAAAGTTTGAGAAACTTTTTTGAATACTGAAGGACAGTGTATGTTATATGAGCTATCACTTAAGAAAAAAATTGGATTCAATTCAAAATTTAAAATCAGAGATGAGTAGGAGAAAGTGAGCTTTGCTTTGGGCAAAGTTCTGAGGAAAAAGACAAGGTGAATATAGCTATGAAGAAATAAAAAAGCTTAACATCAATTGAAACAAATCAACTGTCATACTGAAAAGAGGGAAAAAGAACACAACACTCTTGTGGATGCTGACTTGGGTTAAGAAAGCACTGTTGATAGAAGATAAATATCTGTCTTTATGCATAGTTTAGGAGATTGGGTGTTTCTTTAAAATGTTAAATGTATTATTTGATCAGTTGGATTTGTTAATAAATAAAGTTAAAACAAGAAAATGAGCAGTAAAGAATATTTGAACATCTAAAATTGATATTAGATTGCATCTTTTACAACAAAAGATTATTTCTCACTTTCACCGGGCTCTCTCTAAATTTAAAAAATTCAATATACTACCAATAGATACGTGCTGGAGATGCAAAGCAAGCAGACAACACTTGGTCATGCCCTCTAATCAATATTTTTAAAATAAATTATAACTAGCATTAATATGGTTTTGAATACACATATCTTTGGCAAATAAGCGTATTTGGGGGTATATGACTCAGGAGATCATTGCATTCCTCTGGTGGACCTTATTATTGACATGCAGAATTGTATTGTTCCATTGTAGAAGTAGGAGATCTCCAAAGGCTAAAACCTGGTCATAATGAAATGGCACAGCTAGCATACATGGAAAGAGTCATGTTTTAGAGGGATAACTGCTTTGAAAAGTCTAATGCATTTTGGAAAGATTTTTTAGACTATTCAGCAACTAAGTTCTAAACTACTTTTAATGGATTACTACCATCATCCATGCCTTCATATTCTCAAGACTAGATAATGCACGCTATGTAGGGCTGTCCATGAAGATGGTCTGGAATCTGCAGCTAGCCCCTTCTTTTGAAGGTGAGTCAGCAAGAGTACACGAGTCCAATGCTCCAAAGTCTACACTGACTTTCTGAGCGCAATTCTAGGTCCTGGTTTCAACCTATATGGCTCTAAATGGCCAGGGCCTAACATACATAAGTGACTGTCTTCTCTTGTATGCCCCATCACAATCCCTAAAGTCAGTTAAGTCAGTATGCCAAGCCTACTCAGTGAAAATGCATGAAAAGTTGCTCTCAGCTGACACTCCTCAAACTCCCTCCCTTTGAGGCCTGCTAGAAGGGCTATAAAATTTTCCTATTTGGGCAGGCACTTAGCAAACAAAGCTAAGCTATTATTTAGGGCAGGGGCAGGCAAAATGCGGCCTGCCGGCTAAATGCAGCTCGCCAGGCCATTCTATCTGGCCTGCAGGGCCCCTAAAGAATTTAGAAAATTAATATTAATCTGCCCCTGGCTGCCTGTCATGTGGCCCTTGATGGCTTGCCAAAACTCAGTAAGCGGTCCTACACCCAAAATAATTGCCCAACCCTGATTTAGGGGGGTCTCTGTTTTATAATGATAGTTTAGTTCCTTTTTAAGTTGTTTTGTTCTCTTGTATTCTCCTGTTTTATACGTTATTCCGTTTGCTTATTGCAAGCTATCCTGAGGCTTGCTTGGGAAGGGGGGGACATATAAATCAAATTAATTAATTAATTAATTATTCCTTGCACACTTATTCATTTCTCTTCTATCAGTGCGTTATCCCTCCTTTCTTTTATTTTTCTTTTCTATTAATTGTTTATTATTTGTAATAGACGCATGTATTTCAGATTCATATATATGTAATTAATATATATGTATAATTGATTTTTGTGTTGTAATTAAAACTAATAAAAACAGAATAAAAAAAGATAATGGCATACTTCTTACACCTTGCATATTGTTTCTTACCCTTCCTGTCAATTATCAAGTAAGGGGCTAGCTCTGCAGAGAAACTCAATTGTCTGGTGTTGGTAGCTAGTGGGTAGAGGATGGCTCTAGGGCAATCCCTAGAGTCAACTCTAAAGTTAACTCTAGTGTTGGTGGCAATTCCTTGGCTTTGGATGGCATTTCAAACCAATTCCAACTAGAGAGAATGCATTATCAGGCCAGTGATTAGTTAGTCCTGTTGGAGCATCAAGTTGAGAGGAGAAAGGATCCAGATCAGGGGCGGGCAATTATTGCTGCTGGAGGGCCACTTAATGAGTTTTGGTGAGGTGTTGAGAGTCTTGTGGCCCTGCCCCTTGACAAGTACCCTGCCTCCTAGTCACCATCTTGAGATCAAAAGTCCCTCCCCCCAACCCCTGACTTTTACCACTGGAAGTCCCTCCCTTTGCCCCTGGAAGTACTCCTTTTGGGAGGGGAGGGGGGGTTGCCATCTTGGAATCTGTGTCATATTGCAGGGGGGGTGTAGGGGTGGGGGGGTATGGGTGGGTGGATATAGGGTTTGTGGGGGAGGGTATGGGTATATGGGTATGGGGTTTGTGGTGTACTGTAGGTGTGTATGTGTGGATATCTGCGTATGAGGGTATGGGGGAGGGTATAGTTGTGTGTGTGGATGTGGGTGGGTATGAGGGGTTTGTGGGGATGTGTAGGTGTGTGGGTATGGGGTTTGTGGGGGCCGTGGGGTGTGTGGAGGGGGAGGGTGGCTGGAGGTGTTTGTGTGTAGTGGGTGTGTGCATGTAGCAGTGAGCGGGGCTACCCCCAGAGGAACACATGTGTGTGGGGGGGGATTGCGGGGGGATATAAGGGAGGCTGTGGGTGGGTGCAGTGTTTATGGGGTGTCTGATTGTGTGTTGGGGAGGATGTGGTTGTGGGATTTGTGAGGGAGGGTTTAAGGGTATGGTGGGTTGTGCATGAGAGCCCCCCGCACATGTCCCCCTGAGCTGGTCAGCACCCGCCCCTGCCTGCAACAGCCGAGCCTGCGTGCCCTGCGGTGAACCCTGCCACCGCCAACAGTGCACACAGCCCCAGCCCCACCCTGTGCCTGCTCCATAACGTCCAGCCATGGCATGTCCTGCTGCCCCCTGGGCACATAGTGGGACTGGAGAGGTGCCACCACTTCTGGCCTCAGGTCTACAGTACCAGTTGGGACCTGCGCACGCAGCCCCAACTTGGCGTGCCCTGTGTCTGCTCCAGACTCACCTGTCCAAGCTCAGCAGTAACAGAAGTGGTGGCACCAGGCAGAAAGTGTTGCTTGGCGCAAAGGAAAAGTGGCCACTTGCCACTGCCAGGCAGTTCTTGGTGCAACTGCCTGGAGCCCGCGCTGCACCAGGCTGCCCTGAAGCTCTTCTTCCATCAATGCAGCCTCTGGACTGCCCAGCATGCAGCGGTGACAGTGTGGAGCAGCCGCAGGGCAGCCTGGGCAGCAGTGATGGTGACACAGAGTAGCCTGGTGCAGTGCGGGCTCCAGGCAGTTGCACCAAGAACTGCCTGGCAGCAGCGAGGGGAAGGGGCTGCATTTCCCTTGCACTGAGCAACAGTTTCTGCTTGGTGCCGCCACTGCCACCGCTGCAGTGGTTGGGTGAGTCCGGAGCAGGCATAGGAAGCACCGGGTCGGGGCTGTGCATGTGGGTCCCTACTGGTACTGTGGGCCTGGGGCCACCGGCAGCCAGAAGGAGCCACCACTGCCTGGGCTGCTCAGCCGCAGAGCCGTCCCAGCCCTGCTGTGTGACCAGGGGCAACTGGATGCGCTATGGCTGGGTGGTGCCTGGGCCAGGTGGAACCAGGGAACCCACTGCAGGTCAGACAAAGCCCCTCTGCAGGCGGAATCTGGCCTGCTGGCCATATTTTGCTCACCCCTGATCCAAATCCTATGTCCACCTCCTGCACACCTGACAAATGGCTGTTGTTTCAGCAGATGCCACATTTAAATGCAAACTACCACACCACTCTGAAATCCTGAGTTTTCTAAGTTATTCATGTTGATCATTCTCTGAGGTATGGTGTATGAATATTATCCACAAGTAAGGAATATGATAGCTGCATCCCATTTTATATTGTGAAAAAAATCAGCAGCGAAACTGCCTACCTAGCCATTCCGAGAGGAGATAAGATACCGAGAAGTGTTCCGGATATAGCACCTTGAGTTCTGCCACAAAAAGAATAGAGCACATGGGTTTGTCAGTATAAAGGATTAACCATTAAAGTGACTGTTATTAATGGAATCAAGGCAAGTACACATCTAGTTTTGATCTTTTTTTCTTGCACGTATACATCCTCTTCTTTCAGTACTTATATTCAATCAGTGCACTGGTAAGTTATTAATGGGCTTAGTCTCGTCCCTTGACTCACTCACTCTAGTCAGAATTATCTGAATTATAAGCCATTAGCCTTTTCTTTTTAGTAAGATGTGTCATATTCATTGAGATGGTTGGAATAAAATATATAAAACTTCTTGACTCATTCAGATAGGCATTTACTTAGATTCCACCATTTTATGTAGTAGCCCAGCAACATGATGGAGAGGGAGATCTTTTCATTTAATAACTCTGTCAAGAAATTAATCTAGAGAACTATCCCAAATTTCCCATTAGCCAAGCTTCCTTTGTACTTCACTGTGCAACTAGCAGTTGATCCTATTTCTTTTGGTTTGGGAAACTAAGATCAGCTGACTCTTCTCCCACATTTCATTTGGTTTAAGCACAAAAAGAAAAAAAGCTTTTTCAAGAGTAAAACCATTGCACATACCTGCCAATCAATCTCATACTTCCTATGATCATAAGTAGCTTTGAGGTTACCAAGTTTCTTCAGAATTCTTTGGTTTTCCAAAGTGATCTTCACTATTTCCCTGTTCTGTTTCTCTCTATTTGAGCTGCAAACACAAATAAAAACTTGGTTGACACTAATGAGGCATGAAACAATGGTAATAGATAGTGTATGTTCAGTCAAAATAATTTTAACTATCATCTGATAAGATGCACAACCATTGCATTTTCCTGAATTTATTAACAGATGACAGGCTTTAGTCTACAACTATCTAATACAGGATTAATGCAGGGGTGGGCAATTATTTTGAGTGGAGGGCCACTTAATGAGTTTTGGTGAGCTGTCAAGGGTGCCCATTTAAAGGCTTTCAGAAGATATCATTTTAACAAATTATATAAAACACAAGTCAGATACTAAAAATCAAACATAGATTCATAGATTCATAGATGTTAGGGTCGGAAGGGACCTCAATAGATCATTGAGTCTGACCCCCTGCATAAG